GGAGCGTCGCTGTCCGACGAACTGGTCGCAGCTTCCCGCTTGCGGATGACTCTCGGGCGTCCTTGCCCGGAATGCTCATGGGCCTCTGGATTTCTCACATCTCTGCTTCTGTAGGCTTCACTACTACATATAGCCATGCATTCCAAAAAAGAAAGGGTGGGTCCTAATTACCTGGTTACCCTCCCAAAACATTTCTCAAGTGCACAGGATGTAATCCTGACCGATACAAAACAAAATGGAACGGCTTGAACAGTTGCGTCCCCTTTTTACTATGGGCGTTACCCCTATGCAAATTGTACCGTCCCCTCTTTATAGTCTTCAATACACCCTGTAAGCTTGCCTAAACTCGGCTCAACGTGGGTAAGAGTTCTGGGTCGTAAACCCTATAATCAGGCGAATTGCTTCGCCCGTAGCCAATTAGCAACCTCCGGGAGGCATCACAATGCCTACTTCCCGGTTTCGGGCCCTTGTTACGTCTGGCCCCTAAAAATCAATTGTCGCGCAAAAATTCGCAAATAACTTGTGCTTTGGTAACAAACGTGCAGCCATCCCTTGCGCTGTTACCCTATCTACGAGTATCTTAAAACTAACCCTGTTAGGTTTGTACGCAATTTCTACTACTTTTTCGCGAGCGTCTGCCTCCGGCCGTCTTTACTCTCTATAGTTACGCCGTATCCTAGGTCGTAATTCGTACTTATGCCGGGTTTCCCGTGACTCGCTCGTCTCTGCGCTAGTCTGTGCTGGTGAGCTGTATCCACTCGCCTCGCTAGATCTGTCTCTTTCTATCGCTTGCTCTCTCTCTCTCCCGTCCACTGCGGGACGATTCGCGTCATAACTGCTGACTCGGCAGTTTTCATCATTCTCAAGCTGTCGCCCATCTGGAGCGTATGAGGCTAGCGATCGTTCGCTGCTTGCTTCCGACGCTGTGTCAGATTCTGTTTCCACACGTTCTTCAAACCGTGGTTCTTGTTCCCTCATTCGACGCTTGTGCTGTCTTCGTCTTTCGCGGAGCTCTTCCCTTGATGCTCTGCA